TATGTGGGGGCGTGTTAGAACGAGCCGTTTTAGGGGGGTGTGGCAGAGTCTTAACTTTGATAAAGAATATCTCTTTGGTTTTGAGACTTTAGTCTTTGCAACTTCAGGGATCTTATCTATGCACAATCAGCTTGTAACACTCCAAAGAGAAAGGAAAACTTGAAATCGCATCATATGACCCCTTTAAAATCATGCAGATACCCGGTTATTTTATGGTAGGCTACCATATGGAATAACTTTTTTTTTTCTTCTTTTTTTGAATAAGCCCCTTTTAACTGTCCTCTTATGTTGTTTTGAGAATGTTCTGTAGGCCACTAATAAAAAAATAAGGTCTCTGCACATTTGTTTGTTGCAAATTTACAGACAATGCAACTGAGATGTTTACATTGGCTTGTTGCTAATATTGCTGTCAACTGACAACAAAGTTTCCTTTCTGAATTAGCTTAGCTGCACATAAAATAAAATCTTTAAAAACAAATTACATTAATTATACTTTAATTTCCTTCAATAAAAAGGAAATTGAGTAAGACGGTGTAAAAGATGTGTGGACGTGGATTAGTAATCTGGCCCCTTGGTATAAAGGAGAAAAAATGCTGGCCCTCGTCACTATCAAAGTTGCCCATCCCTGCTTGTTACACTCCAAAGAGAAAGGAAAACTTGAAATCGCATCATATGACCCCTTTAAAATCATACAGATACCCGGTTATTTTATGGTAGGCTACCATTTGGAATAACTTTTTTTCTTCTTCTTTTTTTGAATAAGCCCCTTTTAACTGTCCTCTTATGTTGTTTTGAGAATGTTCTGTAGGCCACTAATAAAAAAATAAGGTCTCTGCACATTTGTTTGTTGCAAATTTACAGACAATGCAACTGAGATGTTTACATTGGCTTGTTGCTAATATTGCTGTCAACTGACAACAAAGTTTCCCTTCTGAATTAGCTTAGCTGCACATAAAATAAAATCTTTAAAAACAAATTACATTAATTATACTTTAATTTCCTTCAATAAAAAGGAAATTGAGTAAGACGGTGTAAAAGATGTGTGGACGTGGATTAGTAATCTGGCCCCTTGGTATAAAGGAGAAAAATCACTGTAAATTTCATCTAACGTGAGTTGACATGAGTGTATTTTATAGTTGTAGGCAATACATACTTATGTCATCCTGGCGCGTTACAAACTTCAGTGTTTTGTCTTTGGGGTCGTAGCGTTTTTCTTCCCGCTGTTGTTCCGTCATTGTTGCTCCAGCAGTCGGTTTAGAAATGAAATGAAACCTAGTAGGTTTTATGGTGACAGTGTTTTGTTCTCTTTCCAGTTTGTCACGTGGCTTCTCGGCTGACTGGTTGAGATTAGATGCCTGTCACGTCAAGTTATAGCCTAATAAACAATGAGTAATTTACCGGTGTGTTTCCTCATTTCCAAAGGCAGGCATATGATCCAATATGTAAATGTATTCTGTATGTAGGCTACATACAGAATAAATTAATGATAGACTAATTCTGAACGACAAAAGTAGATAGTGTGGTTTATTACTGTTATTATTAGGCTATTATTATTATTATTTAAAGAGCAAAGATGTAGGCGAAATATGGCCCTATATAGCCTATATTTTTATCAAATGGGACGTCAACACCTCGCAAGCATATGAACAGAAAGTGAAACGTCCACGGTTCATACGGAGTTTTGCAGTAGCCTAACTTGTTTAGGTGCTCTCCTAAAATGGGAAAGATTTACCAGATCATGGTGGTTGGAATAAAGGGGGAGAAGAAAACTGTTGATGTTGCGACATCAGAGGAAGATTTCAACAAAATGACTATTTTGGGATTCAAAAAGAAAGTTGCGGAAAAATTGCCCGGACAAGCAGGTGAGATCAAATGCTGAAAATATAAAACCATAGGCCGTTAACCCATTTAATTATAGTCACACACAAAAAAAAAAACACAGAGTAGGCTATGTGCTTGTTATAGCTGTTTTATTTCTGGTCACATTTGTAAGCAGTACAGTGGTGAATTACACATCGTTAAAAATAGACGAGTTGCAAACAATAAAGTAATAGGCTAGTAAAGGGCTAATTTTAAGCATCTGTGGAGAAAATAAAATGTTTTTTTTTACTTTTCATTTTTCTAACAATTTGAAATCTACAGCCTCATACACTTGTTCAAAATAGGATAAATGTGCACTGACATGTTTACACGTATAATGATTGTTTGAGTTTTTTTCAGATGTTTTAACCTTCCTTATATCTTCCCACAGGGGATGATCCATCGTCCCTGAGGCTGCTGTACACAGATAAACAACTAGAAGACAATGACACGTTTTTAGACCACCAAATTAAGGATCGCTCCACTCTCTTCATGGTCTTACGTCTACCCGGAGGTTTCCAAACATGCTAAGAATTTGAGTCCCTGCCGGAATCAAGTCCACGCACCTAAGGATCTCGTCGACAAGACAACATTTTAAACACAGACACTTCTACATTTATTGACTAGTGAATCAATGTGTTGCTAGCTATTGTATTAGGATATTATGAGTGTGTGGACTGTGGGCTACACTCTCAGGAAAAAAAAGGTAGGCCTACAGTTGTCACTCGGGCGGTACCTTTTCAAAACGTACACTTTTGTACCTTTTAGGTACTAATATGTACACTTTAGGTACTAATATGTACCTTTAAGGTACCAATATGGACTGTTTAGATACAAAGGTGTGCCTTTTGAAAAGGTACCGCCACACACTGCAAAAAATGGGATATCTTACTTAGTATTTTTGTCTTGTTTCTAGTCATTTAAAAAAGGTACCGCCCCAGTGACAACTTTTGTACCTTTTTTTTCTGAGAGTGTATTGTAAATGGGGTCACTGTCTGTCACTTCACATCGGGGATAATCATAGCACTCTGAATCCCTTCTCAGGAATTGTATCGATAAATAGGCTAGTCTTGGATTTTAAGAATTATGACTTATGATTGTTAGGCTACTTCTTTGACAGATGTTCCTTATTTTATTACTGAAGTACAATTAATAAATGAATATGAACTGTTTATGAATGCTTTCCTAATAAAATGTGAAATAGCCTAGGCTACAAGTAAAATTATCAATTTTAAATGATGTTCTTTGCATTTAAGTTCTGTCCACTTAGCAGTTTCCGTCGCGATTTCAACACGCGAATTCGAAAGTAAAACTATAACTTTTCAGTTGCCTGGCGAAGTTGGACGTGTTAATATATTAGTTTGAAACCGAGGTAATTAATAGGCAATAGACTGCTTTGTCCTCTACGAATTTCCTCCGTGTAGCCTACCAGAAGAAAGGACGACTTTCAGCTGAGGTAAATTCTGATGCAAAATATTCTATGCATATTCGAATATTAGCCTTTTAATTAAAATGTAAGGAATTCAGGCTAATTCACTATTAGTTTTTTTTTTTCTTTGTGATAAATATACTCGCTGATTGTTGGACCCCTCAGCTTAATTGAATTTATTATGAATTATGCATTTAAATTAGTCTCAGAATGTGTTTATTCATACACATATAAACCAAAAGACAAGTGCAAAACCGGTTTGCCTTACAGACACGTTTACAAAAGCCTCCTATACAAATCAGCTGTCTGCTCCTTACAGCATGAAGAATCCAGGAACTCTCACAGCCGAGAAACGTAGGCCTAAATCTCCCAACAGGTGGGTTGACTTCTTAAAGCATAACCACAGCCTAGATAATCATTATGTTCAAAGTAACTGTCGAAAGATCAAGGCTACACTCTAAAAATGCTGGGTTGTTTCAACCCAGCGTTGGGTCAAATATGGACTAACCCAACTTTTGGGTTAAAAATTGTATGTAAAAATTTAACCCAACGGTTGGGTTAGTCCATATTTGACCCAAAGTTGGGTTGAAACAACCCAGTATTTTTTAGAGTGTACTTTCTGCTTATTATGTGGTCTGCTTATTAGGCTGTCTGTTGATATGTGAAATACCTTGCCTATATATTTGAAGACACTTTGAGGAATGTCGAGCGCATGCATTGGACTAATGGACTTAGGCTACGTGTGTTACTTCTGTATTCAGGAACGAAGTCCAATATAACGGCCTGAAAAATCAAGGTGCCACCTGCTACTTAAATGCAGTATTGCAATGTCTATTCATGACCCCAAAATTCAGAGAAGCAGTGGTGAGGTAAAACTAATGAATAAATAACCTTAAAACGTTTTTATGACTATTGTTATTAAGACTAATGCTACAATTCCTTACTGCCATTCAACTTTTTCTTGACTACCTTTTTATTTGTCATTTTCCCTGATTATTTTAGTTATGAAGCCCCTGGAGATTGTGGTGAGGAAAATCTCTTGCTACAACTTAAGAAGCTGTTTGAACAGCTGTCAGAAAAAGCAGCCACAACTGAAGGAATAACCAAGAGTCTTGGAGTAAGAAATGGTGGGTTCATTTAATTTTCAAGTCAACACTGTTGGCCCGTGTTAAATAACAAATATTGATACTGAAATTAGCCAAAATTTGAATAACAGTTTCATTTAACAGAATAGGTTAAGGTTCATGAGTAAAACCTTTTTTTTTTTAATTTCCACAAAATTGCATTTGTTTGATGAAATGATTTACATACATTTTAGAAGACTGTTTTCATATATATATATATATATATATATATGTGTGTGTGTGTGTGTGTGTGTGTGTGTACATTTATTTATTTATTTTAATCTTCAAGTTTTTGAGCAACAAGATGCAGTGGAGTATTATCGGAAGATTTTGAAAGCAATGGGGACACATGCCTCTAAGGTATTAATTGTGTTTTGATTTGAGTGAGATTAAACAACTGACTGTAAATAATTCTCTGTTATTATCATTGATGGCTTACGAATGCACAATAACATTAAGAAGTAGCCTATGTATCAAAACTGACTCGCACACCAACAGCACAGTCCATTTGTTCCAGGTCTTTGAAGGGAAAATGAGCAACATAACAAAATGCTGTAAATGTAGCAAGGAAACCAAAGAAACCAACACCTTCATCTCAATACTTCTTTCTATTGATGTTGGAAATGATGAGACATATGATGTGGTAGGAAGACTATTCCCATCATATGCAAAACAAAGTTTATGTTAGCCAAGTTTTTTGTTCTTGGAGACTGGGCATTGCTTACTGTAGCATCCCTCTAAAACTGCATGGTGTATTTTTTTTTTCATGGTGAACCTATAGGAAAATGGTCTGAAAACCTTCTTTAAACATTCAAAACTTGAAGAGGATGACTGGATGTATTGTGATAAATGTGACCAAAAAACAGAAACAGAAACTGTGAGTAAATGAAAATGTGAGATTTTCAACATCCATCATCACCTATACAGATGATCGATCTATGAACCTATCAAAAAAGGGAAGTATATATGAGTTTGCAACATGTGCTTAACATGTGCTTTTTCTTTTTTCCTTGCAATTTTCCAACTTGCAGTGGAGTGAAATAGATAAATATCCCACTGTTTTAACTCTGCATCTGAAGAGGTTTGACTTTGATTACATACGGATGAGATACAAGAAGAATGAATGTTGTCTGGATGTACCTCCAAGTCTACACAATGGGGTATCATTAATCAATTATCATACCAAAGGAAAATTGCTATTTAAAATCAATATAAAATAGTCTAAACATTTAAAAACCCTTATCTTTCTCTGCAGGATAATAGGTCTAAATATGATCTTTATGCTGTTATCAGCCATAAGGGTGGATACACTGGTGGACACTACGATGCAATCATCAGATCTTATGAAAATGGAATATGGTACCGTTTTGATGACTACACCGTAACACAGGTACATTTGTTTGTTTGATTAGCATTATTGCATATAGCAAATTTATATGACTCAAACTGTACATTTTATTTTTTTATATTATAATATACATTTTTTACAGACTTCAGAAGCATCACTGAAAAAGTGAGTGTTGTTCTCTCTCTCTCGTGTGAAGAATGTGAAGCAGTTGTTTCTTGGAAGTAGTATTTAGTCAAAAAGTATTTTCTTTTTTCTTTGACAGCTCACACCTACCATACATGCTGATGTACAGAAAAGGTAAAGGTGAAATACACTAACTCCAACCTTTTCAACATGTTGCTATTTCAGAGACAAAAAAAGGCTCTAAAAATACACTTTAAAATGTGTTTAGTTTATGTTTATGTGTTGTTCAAAACAGCAGTGTTGAGCCCTGGCAGCGTTCCACATCCGATGAGGATCCTTCTAATAGGGCCTTCCAGAGCTGGGAAAAGTGCAGTAGGCAACATCATCCTTGGTGGAAATTACTTTACTTCTGAAAGTGGATCGGAGACTGTGACCAAAGAATCCATGGCAAAGACAGTGGAAAAGATCACTGTAGTGGACACTCCAAATCTCTTTTCCCTCGATGAACTGAGCTGGAGCCATGAAATGGAAAGATGCATTGAGTTATGTGACCCTGGCCCCAATGTGATTCTCTGGGTCACACCAATATGTAAATTTAGTGAACAACAACAAGGTCTTTTCCATGCCTTCAGAAAACGACTAGATTCAGGAACAACAAAACATATGATGATTATCTTCACAAATGGCAGAGAGCTTAAAAAACTTGGGCAAACCATTAGCACATTTATTTCCAAAGGCAGCAAACTTTGTAAAGTGGTCAGCAGCTGTCAGAACAGGTACCATGTCATTGACATCACTAATGGCCACAATAACACCCCAGAACTGCTTGAAAATCTCAGCAAGATAGTGACATCAGAGTATACTGCAATTTCAAAAAGACAATTAAAGCGTTGTACTAGAAGGAAAAAGTTCGTAAGAAGACAGAAATCCATGAAACATTGAAGATGTTAAAAAAGAGATCAAACGTCTTGAGTCTTGCAGACAAAATAACTGATAAGAAACTGAGTGCACATAAGAGAAGATGAAATCTTCTGGAAGGTGCTGAATCACTGAATATATTGAATTTCCTTTTGATTTCCTTTGAATTTTCTTATGTTATCAAATTTTTAGTTTTCACTTACATATTTTTGAAATGATTTGAGTTAGTAAAGCTTGTTATTTTCCATGCTATTTTTTGTACATAATTAAAAAAAATTTTGATAGACAAATTAAGTTCTTGAAGAATGCTGATATTAAAATGAACATCACAATTCAATAAAGCACTTTCTGAAAATTGAAAAAAAACCTGCAATTGAAAATAAACAACATAAATGAAACTAAATTAATCTAATGCTTTAACCACATATTTATTTGTTTTAAATCGGTAATCTTACACTGTTATACACACATTTATAATCATTTTTATCCTTATCTGCTTCCAACAAATACATTCAAATTCAAACAATGTAACAGACACTACTGTACTACTGTAGACACTAATGAACTGATTCTTTTGATTAATTATCATTAATTGTTAAATTTAGAGAAGAAATCAAGTATGGTCATATTTGCAATTAACATCATATAGGTTCGAGAGGGTTAAGACTATACAAAGACTTTTGTATAACAATTGATTTTACAGTAATAGTTCCTTTAAAAGTTGATTTATTCGACTGAGTCAACAGGTGTAATGATCAGAGGATGTGAGTTCTGCCCTTTCTTACATTCTCCAGGACTGAAATATGGATAGAGATTTTCAGGAAAAGACTGCCCAGTGAAAGAATAGATATGATACCTGGCTTCAACATCATAAAACGAGATCAAACCCCCCTCAAAATCCACAAATACTCCCACTTTCACTGGCTTCTCTTTCAAGGTGAGAGGGACAGGGGTGCGATCATTCGCTGCATACTCATCCCTGTTCCTCAGCCATATAGTCCAATATCCATTCTCAGGGTTAAGCCCAATATCTCCTTTTCTGTCTACGGATTCTTTTGCCACACCTAAATCCCACTCCATCCCACTGACTTGAACCTCATAGTAAAATTTCTGTGAGGAAAACCCTTCCTTTCCTAAGACACATGAGCAATAATTAAACCTTTTTGGGGTGTCAGGAATCTTCTGTGACTTGACTGTATTCCAGACCTTTTTCCCATCGTCGGACAACATGAGTTCAGGATGAGCTGTGTCAGGGTCAAGTGTCACATCCACTGAAAAATTATATAAAAGTTAATGTAAACTTTCAGTATTTCCAAGTCAGTATTTCACTTTTATTCGAGAAAACTTTATTTGGTGCTACATTACAACAAATCAGTATAATGGATTATTTTCTTTTCTGATAGTAAAGTTTAAGGCCCCATATAATTCAAGCAAAATCAAAGAACGAACTGGTGTGATGTCGTCAGGCCAAAACCAAGTTAATTTGGCATTCGTTTCAGGAGTTCAAAACAGCCTGCAAATTCTGCAAGAGTGGAATTCTTCTTCAGTTCATTTCTTCTGTTTTGTCCGTAATCACACTATAGAGCTGCTTTGTAGTAGAAACTGAAGTTGTAATTCTAATGGAAAGTGACACTGACAGAGTCTATTGTATAAAATGCTAGGCTATAAATAAATGTGACGTTCACTGGAGTTTTGAATTATAGAGCTGGTGCAAACATATGCATGTCATTATAATCAGAATCTTTCTTAACTGCTGTTTCTCCATGTATTTCAAATGTCTTTTTACCCTTAAGCAAAAAGTTTAGTAACAGTAACCGTTTAACTGTTAATTTTTTATGTACTAAATGTAACTTTTAGTAGTCAGATTTTCCATACCTGCATAATGTTGTATACTCCGCAGCTCTCTGCCAACTACAACAAGAATGAAAAAATGTGTTTCTGTCTGATTAAAGAGTGTATGGTGGTGTAAATATGATTGGTTACATGGTGAACGTTTACCAGTTTCTCTCATTTTCTCATCCAGCACACTCTGAAGATGTGATATGGTCTTCCTCAGAATACCTCCAGGTTCAAGAGCGCTGATGCTGATGTTTTTTGAGCTGTTGGTATATATGGGGTTGCGCAAGAGGCTAATAATCTACAACAGAGGGGAAAAGGTCCTTAAGCCAAGTGTACAAGTGGCATTGTTTCTTACCATAGTTTGGTGAGAAAGACTGACTTGTGTCAAATTCATTGGATGTGAGAGTTGCTCCAGTTCAGTTTGTCTTCTCTTTAGCTCCACGATCTCTTCATCTAGCTCTCTGATGAGCTCTTTTCCTCGTCTCTCAGTTTCTTTATGCTTTTCCTCTGTGAGCTCAAGTAGCTCCGCATTGCTTCTGTCAAAGACATCCTTAAAAAACTTGATGTTCTCTTCAATCTCCTTCTCTTTGGATTGCTGTTGTGAGTTTTAAGAAGAAAATGTAATTAACTGGAAAATCATCACAACATTGTCAAAGCACGATACAAAATAAAACTAAATGATCAAGCACTATAAAAGCCCTGCATAATTATTTCTTCAGAAATAAAATTCTATTAATAAAATCAATGCCACTTACTTTGTTAAACCTTGCAGAATGTTTAATTTCTTTAATCTTCCGCAACTTCTCCTGAATTTTCTGCTGCACTGCAATCTTTTTATTCATCAGCAATTTCTGTGGAAATAAAGAAATGTACAGTAGGCTGTAGTATAGCATCAGCATACAAGCGTTGTTAATGTTTATAATGTTGGAAAGTATTCAGTATATTTTCATAGTTGCTATTAGTGACTAGATTAATGACTTAAGTATGTTAGATATAATTACCAAACTCTCCGTCTCCAGAGGAACAGTGTTATGATTCCTGTGGTCACTCTCGATGCAGAATTGACAGATAGCTGTCTGATCATCTTTACAGTAAAGATCCAGAGGTCTTTCATGGTTCTTGCAAATGTATTCCTCAAGATTCTTCACAGGGTTAATTAGTTTGTGTTTAATGAGTTTTTCTGCCATTTTATGGGGCTCCAAGTGAGACTCGCAGAAAGAGGTTCCACAGTGTAAGCATGACTTAATAGCAGTCCGCATTTTCTTCTTTGGGCAACTATCACAGGACACTTCAGCCTTCTCCTGGATTCTTTTCCTTTTGATGCCTTCTGCTAATTCTTTAATGGTTCTGTTTATGTTAAAATCTTGTTTTGAGTCTAATGCCTTCCCACACAGTGGGCACCTTGTGCAGGGACTGCAGTCTCTATGGCTTCTGATGCAGACCATACAGAAGTTGTGCCCACAAGAAGTGGTTACAGGGTCAGTGAACACGTCCAGACATATGGAACATGTGAGGCTTTTTTCCGACACAACGCTGGAGGAAGCCATGACTTTACAGCTAAAATCATACACAAATACAGTAAATGAATTTAGCAGACAACTAGAAATAGTGTAATAAAAACATATTCAACAAATATTTGCTTGAACACTTCACAAGTTACAAACTTTCCATGAGCTCCAGAATTTCAAAACTGTACACCTATGTAAAAACTATAAAGAACAGACAAATGCTACAGTAAATATGTATATTAAATATTCAAAAAATATCTTAAATAGATTAGTATATTAACATTACATTATTTAATGACATTCATAGCAACTGTGAAATATATAGCCACCAAAATGTCATCCTATGGCTATAATGTTGTTGTTTTTTTATGGTTAAAAAACTAACAACCATTTTTGGTTTTCCCATAAATTTAACAAAACAATTTCACAGTGTATTGAGTCTCACTGGTAAATATTTAAGATCGTTTTAGACAACTAATTATTTATTTATTAATAGTGGTAAAGATGTGTCTGATGAATTCTACCTCTTGATGGCGAGTCTTTGGGTGTGTATCGCTTTATCCAATAGTCAAACCTGATTTTCAGGTTTGTAGCATATACACAAATCAGGAATCAAAGCCTATGTAACATATTTCTCACTTTTCTATTCACCACAATTAAAATGCATAAAGGTCCACATTCAAGACAGCTTTGTGTAGGCTAAATAGTTCGTAAAACCGTTACTAAATTGTCTTCACAATTCAGTAACGAGTCAATTCACCTCCAAGTAAAACTTTTCCATGACTAATCTATGGGATCAGAATCAAGTCTAATCAGATGAATCATGTTCTATACTTCTATACTTACCCTTTAGTGATTGACTCGGTCGCTTAATAGTAAATCGTCATCCAAAGAAAGAAGACATCAAAGGCTGGATGACATTCAATCTATCACAGCACGACTGGAAACGTGGACGAACAAGACTGGAAACTAGGAACGAATTCTAGGCGAGCGCAGCCAATGAAACTGCTGGCATTTGCATGTATTTGCATTTGAAGCCTCTAAGCCTCTAAATCAGGGGTGTCAAACTCAATTCCTGGAGGGCCAGAGCCCTGCAGAGCTTAGATTCAACCCTAATTAAACACACCTGAGCCAACTAATCAAGTCCTTTAGGCTTATTTGACAACTATGTGATGTGTGTTGGAGCAGGCAGACTTATTTGAAAACGACATGGTTTCTGTGTTGGAGCAGGGTTGGAACAAAACTCTGCAGGGCTCCGGCTCTCCAGGAATTGAGTTTGACACCCCTGGTCTAAATGAAATTATCGTATGATTTAGACCTAAAATATTTCATATGTCTTAGACCTCATTTATTTACTAATTCAACCTTGTAGTAGGCCAATTTCTCACAACTTATCAAGGATGACAATGAGAGGTGCATTTAGTGCCACAGAGAAGTCCAGATTATAGAGGCATTTCACCAAAGCCCGTATAGACAGATTTCCAAAACAGCTTTCCTTATTACACATTGTATTTCTTGAACTCAAAGGAAAAATGCTTATTACCACGGCAACAACACCTGCACATAGAATATAACAAACAACATTGAGAAATCCTATGAGTAAAATAATGAGTCACTGCAGATTCTAAATAAATAATTAGTTAAATGCTTAAGCAGCTACATCATTATTTTCGTGGAACAGGAACTGAATGTCAGCTGTTGCATTAGCTACTAATTCCAACATGTTACTCACTTCAAAGTGAATCATTAAGAACAGACCCCAAAAATGATTCTTTCGTAAATCGGAAAAACACTGTGGTATTTTTCCTCTTAGAGAAGAACTCTTTTATTGTTGTGGAGACACAACACCTTTAATTTTGTCAGACAAAAAGCTCTAAACTTTGTTATTTCTTTTTCTTTTTTTTACACAACAAATGGTTATGTATTCTGTCTTATTGTTTTAAGTTAGTCTCCCTCAGGGGGAGAAATTTATGGTTTTGGTTGTGGACATATTATTCCACATGTCTACTGTGAATATTCTATACCGTATTTTGTCATAGCAATAATTCACAAATAAATCATATGTCTGTCTAGCTAATATCCAAGTCCATCCACTTTATTTTATGTATCATTTCATAAAAATGTATTACAAAAGATCATTAAACCAGCAAATGTTAAGTGAGCTGAGACAAACCCTTTCATGTGCATCTAATGGTATATTTGAGAAAAACTGTTTATTTATTAACTAAAGTGTAGCATATCTATGCCTCAAAGCCTCATTCCATCTGTGTAAATTCAAAGACAGATAACACACAGCCTCCCAGGTTTACTGCAACAAATGTATCTTTCAGGGATTACAGTGTAGCTGGTTTCTGTTTCATAATACAGGAAATCCAACTTTACAGCTGAGTGGTTACAAGAAATGATATCTGCAATCTAGATCAGCAGATCTAGCAAACCAACAGGTCAACATAAATTATGTAATTTGTCATGTAAACTTTTCAGAATTAATTTATAATGAGAAGAAACTGAACAAAGCAGTAAATAAAATGAATAAAAGTTTAATACAGTATGTTGAAGTTAAATACAGTATGTTCAAACAGTACATCCAGTTGCTTACTTTCTTGATTTTCCTGATGGTCATAATATTTCAAATCTGTTGTCCTCTGTTTTCAAATAAATCGTAGGAAAATAGTACAGTTTTAACATGGAGAAATGTTCTTAAGTGTACATTTATAGAGCTAGTTAATATAATTTTATCAGTCCTTCAATCAATTATTTTTAACATTATTTGTAAAGTATTCTGGATTAGTGGGGGGTGCTCAAGTCAAGTTTCAAGATGACAACAAGCTAAATCTGTTTACTTTCATAATCAAGGATTATACGAACACACAAACTCATTAAAATGTCAATACATTCTTGTTTTCTTCAAATATGAACTCCTGAGACGACAATAAAAAGATGCATAAATCATGTTTCTAAAATAAGGATGTCAGAAGTTGTGTCTTACAGCCCAGGGAAGAGGTAGAATCTCTTAGATAATGTTGTTCTTTCTTTGCATGGCATTTGATCTGGATGTGTCATCTTAAACTTCTCAAGGACCTGTTTCAAAAATAAAAATAAATATTACAACATAACCAACCACACATAACCTCAAATGTTCAACTAAAAAAAAAAAAAAACCTTTCTTTATTCTAGACCTCTTGGTATTTGGTATTTGGCTGGTTAGTTATTGTTACTGACATGCAATATCACTGACAAGAAATAACAAGGAAGTATACATCAACCATTCAATCAACCATCAAAAAGCCACATATCGGCATTGATGTCTACAGATTGATGTCTGTCTTGCTAAAGAATGTGACTTTGCCTTTCTGAAGAGTTCCTCGATGTCGTCCTGGTGGGCATGCTGATTAAATATTTCCACAATGTCTTGGATGAAATGTGAGCCATTCCCTTTGTTTCTGTAGGATACAGTATCTGTATAGAGAATACAAATTAGGACATACATTGTTTGACAGAACACCATCACTTAGATGCAAATCAAACAGCACGTAGTTGTAACACATTTTTAAAACAATACAGTATATCCAGTAGTCAGCATTAAAGTGACAGTTTACCCAGAAATGAAAATCCTGTCATCATTTACACACCCTCGTGTTATTCCAAACCTGTATGATTTTTTTTTTCTACTGCTGAACACAAAAGAAGAAAAATGTGGGTAACCAAACAGTTTCTGGTTCCCATTGACTTCAATATTTTTTCCCCATACTATGGAAGCTAATGGGAAACATCAACTGTTCAGTTCTGTTCAATTCTCCAATTATTATTTTCTGTTTAGTAGAAGAATGAAACTCAAACAGATTTGGAACTTGAGGGTGAGTAAATGATGACGGAATTTTTATATTTGGGTCAACTATCCCATGTATGTCCCATGTACTGTATGTTACTCCAAGAAATAATTTTTTGTGTTTTTCATGTAATATTATAGTAAATGGAGCGGAATAATGTAAGGAAATATTTACCTGGAGTACAGGATCTCAGGCAGCAGAAGTCTTTTTCACGGTGCTCTTTTCCTCTGTTGCGTCTTGACACAGCGTCCTGGACATCCACACTGCCTTCTTTATCTGTAACATTAGGGCAAAATTTGCCAAAGCATGTTGCTAGACATGGATGAGGCTCTAACCCAGGGGTAGGCAAGTTCGGTCCTAGAGAGCCGCAGTCCTGCAGAGTTCAGCTCCAACCCTAACTCTAACCAATCAAATATGGCAACATTTTAAATAGTAGAGTTTAACAACCTTTTTCTTTTTCTAAAATAGCATTTTGTAACTCACCACCCCTACACGCCTGGATAAGTATGATTTTTGGCTTGTCCCGCAATCCAGCACAGTTCGGAGTGTTCCAGCAATTAAAAATGTCATCTGTTGGAAAAATGTCCTCTTCATCTTCGTTGTCGATAAGAGTCAAAAACCCCACAGATTCCACTGGCATCTCCATGGGACATCAACACCATAAAGCAGCTGTCCGATTCAGTGTGTTCCTCTCGCTGGGCGAAGTCTCGTATGGCAGCAAGCATACCCTGAACATCAGACCATCAAGATCAAAAAAAAAAAAAGTTGGCTACTTTGGCTTAAACACTTAATACACTTGAATGCACCTGTGCACTGAGGTCCCTGAGTGTGATCACAGTGTAACCCAGGCCTTTAAGCAGCACTTCCATACTCAGTTCATCCTTGTCTGCTCCAGTCCTGTCATCTAAGCTTTTAAATTCTACATTGTTGATAAGCAGTGCCAAACGTTTTCTGTCATGGGATTTGTCTTTTACCGGGTATATCTTGACAGAGAAGAAAAAAAAGTATTAACAAACATATTTATTTTATTAATTTGCACATAATATTCAAACACAAAGCAAGACACAATAAAAAACAACAGCATTTCTCTCATCATTAGGACAATTACCACAACAATGTGTTTTAATTATAAAAAATATTGATTTATATTAGCCATTTTCAATTATTGTGAAATGTACAACATAACTTACATTATCTCCCTTGTCTCTAAGCATTTTCATTTTAAACTCAGGTTTGCATGGTATAAGAGGATCTGAAGTTCTCTGTTCGGATGCAACAAAATCATAATATGCTGTCAGAAAAGATCATATGTTTCAAAAAACATTTATTTGGTCAATTCAGTTAGATTTTATTTACCACTCTCTGTCCACAGCCATTATTGTCACACCGCACAGAATTATTGGCCGGCCCTTTCCATTCCCTGCAGCAGTTCCAGCAGAAGTAGTAAGTCCGTTTCAGGTTGTCCGTGCAGATAGTGCAGTGTACACACAGGTTGCCTCGATCTCGTCTTTCCACATGAGACTGACATCCTGGACACTGCAGCAATGACAAGCAGAGGTATTTTGGAGTGTCTTGTAAGAAGCCATATGCATGCAAACAGCAGACAAAATGAATGATCTTACAGCTTTAAAGTCAAACAGCCTTCTAGCAACAAGAGCAGCGAGGTTCTCCTCTAAGAATTCCCGTTGTTCGTCTGTCAGTGGTATCAGCTGACAGAGGCCCTGATAAGAGAGCTTCAGACCGCAGGATTTCCCCTGAACCTCATTAAAACGAGGGCAGGAACATTCAGTCTTTTTCTAGAAGACAAGAACCAGCTGAACATAGAATTGTAGCATAGGCATCAAAGTCAGTCAATATGTAAACAGTGTAATATAGACCGACCTGTTTAAGATAACACTTGAACCAAGCAACAACATAGTCTGTCGGCATTCGATGACCACAGGGCAATGCAACTGATAACAAAGACATTTACTTAAAAACTTTATGAAGAACATACATAAACCAAATGCTGAAATCACGCTTTTCAATTTCAATTTACATTAGAATGCTGATTAATTTGATTAATGGGAATACGTGGTCAACTCACCAAAGTCCACTCTTTCATTTGATGGTCGTACTTCAGAATTACGATCTGATTTCCCAATATGTTGTTTGTGGATATCTGGATTTTAAAAACAATGATACATATTTTTATTTTGTATTTTTCGTCTAAAACGTTTGTTTGTGATGGTTTCACTTTCGGTTTTGCTCTTGTTGTTATTTTTTTATATTCCAGTACCTATTTTATTTAATCAAATAATCTTATTTTTTCGTATCATTATGTATAACACATTAGGAAAAGTCTAAATGGAAAAAAAGGAAAAAAAAGTCAATACTCAAGTGATGGAAGAGATTCGCTATCGCGGCGTCTTCTTCCAAATCCCAGTTATCCTCTTCCGTCATTTTTACGTTTAAAATTAAGTTATATCTTTTTCCTGTACTAAACTACAGATAAGACGAGATCCCCTGAAGTCCCCTAATGATGTCCTCAGTCAGCCAGCATACGCAGAAGCAAGCTTTTAATGTATGGCTTTATTTGAAAGGGGGGTGGCGCGAATGTCCCTTTGCGCTTACTGTACAGTGTGTTTGTTCAATCCAAGATGGCGGCGCTCAGGGGCAGAGTGGTCATAGAATGTCTTACAACATGCATGTTTCGACAAACAAGCACAGCGAGCATTTCCACTCTTCCTACTGTTATGATAGGGAATAAGGTGAGTGGCATGTTGATCGTTTTCAATTTGCTCCCCAAAACACGCGAAAACGTAGTACTTCACATGACATGACTTTGACAGAAGCTAAATAGCATAGCTGAGGTCTCTTAACTTCATCTTCAAAACACTTGAGTAACTCAAGTAACATTAGGTTTAATTGTAGCATAAAAACTGTTTATCTGATTGTTGATGAATGGCTATGTTGCCTGGTAGCAAGGTGTCATGATCTGGGTTGTATAGTGGGATCAATAAATACATTTCACACATTGTGCATTTTTATGTGATATATTTGTGTGTGTGTGTGTGTGTGTGTGTGTGTGTGTGTGT